TCTCAAAGTAGAAGTCTCTACACTCTTGCTGTTAGCAAAGAGGACTCCTATACTTCTACACTACCAATTTTAGTCCAAATGTACGGCAATTAATAAATGTTAACTACCCATTATTGCAATAAGCAATTCTTATATTTGCCAAATGTTGTAAGTTGTTCAAATATATTTTTTATGTTACTTTGAGTATTAATAGTTTAGGGAAGACTATTTAAAACACTTTCTAAAATATTTACAAAAACACAAATTTCGATTTATTTTATAAAATTCCATGAGAGTTTCAGTATTCATAAAAAAAAAATAAATAAAAAAAATATTTTATACTTTAAAATCATATATTTGATCGTAGCCAATCCTAATTCGTATATATTTATGGAAAAAATATTTAAGGTAATTATATATAGTCGAAGGCAAATTAAATTCAATATTTCAATTTATTTATTCTGAAGTTAAGTATATGAAAACAACAATAAAAACACAATCTGAACATGTTTCGTTCTAAACAGAACAGTCATTTAATTAGTATTTGAAATACCCTTTGCGAGGGTATAAATAGATTGCCACAAAAAGGAAGGCAGAGCAATAATAATTTCGCGTACGGACACTGCCAAGTGGAAGCGCCAAGCTGCAGGAAGCTTCAGTCGCCGTCGCCGCTGCCGCCCCCGCATCTTCTGGTACACCCCCCTCCCCCCATCATAGCAGGAAATCACTGGCAACAAGTGGCCACGACTCTCGCGGAGATTCAGCTCCTGCGGCCATTTCACTTTGCTTTTCATTTTATTGCTAATTTTTTTTCGCTCTCCCAGCGAGTTTTTGCAAATTATAATGACAGCCCCCGGCCCAGATACGGAATACTGTCTAGTAGTCGGTTAGTGTCGGGTGGGCAGGGGCTTGGGGGGCTGGAGGGATGGGGGGATGGGGGCTGGTCAATGAGGGCGAATAGACATTTAATGAAACGAAACGACAACAAATTGTTTAAACATTATTTGCGCTTTCCCTTTGCCGTTTTGCCTTTCCTTTCTTTTTAGCCCATCTCTCTTGGCTCGAACAGTCTTTTTTATATACGTTATTGTTAATAAACAGACATTACAAAGCAGATAATGAACGACAAGGAGTAGTAGTACCAGGCACTTGGCAGAATGGAAATTGAAATTGCGGGCGCTTTGACAGGAAACTGGAAAATCATTCATACAGCAATTTGTCAAAGAGTTGTAAGATAGCATAGCAAAAGGATTTAAAGAAGCAAAACTTTTTTAAAATTAATTGATATATGCATTTTTAATAAGTTTTAGGTAGTCAGTGGAAGCTCTGTCTCAAAGAATAATATTTCTTTACATTTGTTTGACTGTCTTAGGAAAAGAGGGGATTTTTTCCGTTTATAAAAACTAATTTAAAAATGTAAAAAACTAATTTAAAATATAAAATTTGAAAATATAGATTTTTAAACTTATGTAAGGCATTAACTCTGTGGGCATAGACTAACTTTATGAGCTTGCAAAAATTACTCAAGTAATTCCGTTTCAATCTTTTTATTAGCTCTTAATATAATTCTTACATCTTATTGACTGCCAATCAATTTTTCAACTATTTCAAAGTTTTGCAACTTTTCGATTCCGTTTTTTTCATCCTTTTGGACGGATATTTTAATCGTGTCGCCAGTTCTTTCGACTGTGAATGATTTCACTTAACGCTATGGGGATAGAAACAACAATGTTATCGCTTAATACTTATATTTTCCTGTCATTTAATTTCTTTTCCACTTGGTGCTCTCCGCTTTCTCCTTTGATGGTGGCGAGTGCTTAGTGGGATTCACTCCCAGAATTCGACCCGGTTTTATGGTTCTTTGTTTTCGCGCCAAACGATTTTGTTCAGCGCGATGCCAAATAGAAAATCATCATAATTTTCCTTTATTACCAGAGTTTTTACCCATTTGCCATAGTTGTTTCCATGCTTTTTATGGACCAACTTTGGACCGATTCCGTAGCTGTAGCTGCAGCTTTAATTGCCATTGTCATGCCTGGGCGTGCTCATTGCCGTTGTCATTGTTTGTCACAGTCTGTTCCACCAACCCCACCTACCCCTCCTCATGGTGCTCATCAAAAAAGGGGGAAAAAATAACTTTGTCGGAAACTCCTTTGATTTGTTTTCAGCACAACAGTGTAAAAGTTTTGTATGAGCGAAGGACCCGCACTCACCATCATCCCCGAACTTCGGCGAGAGGTGAACTTTTTGAAGACAAAACATTTTTGAGTTATTAATGAAAAGTTGTTGTCTATCCGGTGTACATGCAGGGCAGGGGCTTCAGTTTATATAGCGAATACAAGTGCTAACTAAATGTTATGCTTTCATTATGCTCCGAAGACCCCCACAAAAGTTTCCCATCCGACGAAGTTCCGGCCAAGTTCCTTCTGGTTATTGGCTTAGCTGATTTTTCTCCTGTTCTATTCAATTTGGTTTTGTTCTGAATTTCCTTTTTCTACAGACACGCATTTGTTTGCCTAAAGTGCACTTTTTAACTAACTTGTCTAACGCAACTAATGAAAAGATTTGTTATTAGTTTGGGTCCGGTAGAAGTGCAAGAAGTGGCAGCAGCAGCCACACCAGCTGCCGGTAACTTTGCCCAGGGAATTATACATAAACATTGGAGCAAACCGGGCAAGAAGAACGTACAACATACACGCTTCGCAAAAAAATAAAAAGAAATATGCTTGCAACTTAAAAAGTAAATAAATATTTGAACAACTTCTTATGGCCAACTATTTGTTTGGGCAGACGAAAAGAACAAGTTTTGGGCCAGGGCAAAGCAAAAAGGTGAGCTCAATACTGCGCCGGGGTGTGGAACTTTCGAAGCCATTATGTGAAAGTTTTATTTCTCCACGACCAGGGCCTGGCAATCGACAAGTTTTCCTCTTGGGTGGATCTAAGTTCGGCAGGAATTGGATTGGCAAATTGTTCGGCACATAATTTTAGAGGCAATTTAACAAAATCAAATTTAAGATAAATTCTTTTAGCAAGAATGTGTAAGGACTTGGATAAATTTAAGTAAATATTGGTCTCGCAGAAGTTTAAAACAATTACAGAAGGTAAATAATAAAAAATAGTTTAGTTTGTTTTAAATAGACCAATCCTTATTTTATTATAACTTACCTTTATCTCTGTAAGCCACACTTTCATAACAAACAAGAAAGGAAAGCTAACTTCGGGCGGAGCCGAAGTTGATATACCCTTGCAGAATACTCTGTAAATTATATTCTCCAAAATTATTCATATGATGCATTCTTAATACTCATAAAAAATCCCAACTTCCTAACATTAAAAACACCAAAGTTATGGCATTTCCAATCGTTCAGTTATATAGCAGCTATAGGATATAGTCGGCCGATTATTATGAAGTTTGGTAGGTCGGATTGATTGGCCAAAAATAAAACCCATAGAAAATCCCAACTTCCTAACTTAACAATCACCAAAGTTATGGCATTTCCGATCAATCAGTTATATGGCGGCTATAGGATATAGTCGGCTGATCCTTATGAAATTTGGTAGGTCGGATTGATTGGCCAAATATAAAACCCATAGAAAATCCCAACTTCCTAACTTAACAAACACCAAAGTTATGGCATTTCCGATCAATCAGTTATATGGCAGCTATAGGATATAGTCGGCCGATCCTTATGAAATTTGGTAGGTCAGATTTATTGGCCAAATATAAAACCCATAGAAAATTCCAACTTCCTAACTTTACAAACACCAAAGTTATGGCATTTCCGATCAATCAGTTATATGGCAGCTATAGGATATAGTCGTCCGATCCCGGCCGTTCCGACTTATATACTGCGTGCAAAGGAAAGAAGGGTGTGTGCAAAGTTTCAATTCGATATCTTTAAAACTGAGAGACTAGTTCGCGTAGAAACAGACAGACGGACAGACAGACGGACAGACGGACAGACGGACAGACGGACAGACGGACAGACGGACAGACGGACATACGGACATGGCTATATCAACTCAGGAGGTGATCCTGATCAAGAATATATATACTTTATAGGGTCGGAGATGTCTCCTTCACTGCGTTGCACACTTTTGACCAAAATTATAATACCCTCTGCAAGGGTATAAAAACAAATAAAGCTACATTATAAACATTATGATTGACAATGTACAAGAACTGCTCATAATTATTTTTCTTTTTACAAATGTTGTAGTAAACCCATTCAAAAAGGTATTTCTTTCAATGGAAATGTTATTTTCCTTAGTCAAACCACGCAAAAGTGATATCCATTATAAATCTCCTCTATAACCATCCATTCAAATCCATTTTATGAATGAATTTTGTGTATTTGCTTAAGAATTCCTACACATTTCAGGTGGTTTTAAGCGCATTGTTAAGCTGCCCAAATGGTTTGTTTAATATATTAATAAAAGCCATTCAAAGTCTTGTTCGAACATCTCTAAAGGCCATCCAAATATGGTCATAACCATAAGCCAACTGTGGTCATTGTTCGCCACACAATTGGCATATTAAATTACCGCTTTTGTAGCATATTTAACATAACATCACTAAGCGAGGCTATTTTTGGCCTCGGTTATCTAAACAGATAATTAAGTCCGCTTTGAGCCGCGGCTGTCTGCCAGCTGATTGATTGACTTTATCGTCCGTTCGAGCGGGGCCTTATCAACACTCGGCCGGAGTCAATCTTTTTGGCCCGGCCCGTCTCCGGCCTATCAAGATGCAGTCAGAAAATGCATAAAAGACGTATCTCACGGCAAACGACAATAACAAGAGCCACAGCGCAGCACAGCTCTGCACACCGCAAGAAGGTAGGAAAGGTAGTCTCAGATTAAAACGAGTTCTTAACGGCAATCGTGTAGGCCGAGGAGTGCCATCTTTATGGACAGGTTAAGACAACTTCCTGCGTTCCCGACTCCCCGCCAATGAGGAGTTGTTATTTGATCGACAGTTCAACATGAAAACGAAACCAAAAAGGATGACACACCGCAAGACATTTCATGGTATTTTATATAAATTAGTTTTTTATTTACAGATCTTAAGGTTAGTTAACAGAGTTATTACGGAGTTGAAGCAGTTGTTACATTCTTTATTTTACATTATTGTACTATTCTTAGAATATTTATGAGCAATAAAATCGTCTTGGTTTTTGTTTTTAGTTCGATAAATTTTGTATTGTTTATTCTACGAACATCATAAATGGAAGACTAGTTGGTTATAATATAAAATTCTTGGCAAAGATATCGAATAGAAAGCTTAGTTTAGTTTAATTTACTAAATTTCCATTTTAAATCATTTTTTAAGATCTTTTTTCAGATTGCTAATCATAGGATTAATTTAAGAGGTTCTTTTTTACAATTACTTGGGAAATGGTGAATTTATTTCTTCATTGATAATCGTTTATCTTAATAAATAAATTTTAAAGCATTGTTTAATTTGACATAATACATAATTAATTTCCCAATCGGTCAACGAATTTCTTAGGCGTTTTGGAACAGACATCCAGCAACATAAACTGTTCCCAAGTGTTGTCACATCTTCACAAATTTATTATCCTCGACATCTGGCATCGTCCCAGGTGTTTTTTGACCGAGAGAATCAATCAAGCGCCGGGCACGCTGGCCACCCGCATTCTGCAGTTTATGACACTCTGTCACACCAAATTTCCAGGCGGCTGCGTAAACGTAACGACATAAAGAAACAATTTAAAAATGCATGTAGTAAACGTATAATTTGATTAATAGCGACAGCTAGAATAAAAAAAGGGAGGGAAATTTTTTATAAATGTTGAATGTGTTAAAATGAATTATTTATGACATTACATGCAAATCAAAGTTTGCAACAGTAGCATTTCAAAATAAAAAGTATTCGTTTCTGTTTTTTTTATTATATTCATTACCTGCTCATCAATTTGTAATTGGATCCCATGTTATTTCACAAAAAAGAACCTACGCTGAAAATAAACTTTTGTTTGCTGAAATATTCATTGTTAAATGCTGCGAAAGAATTCATATTTATTGCTGAAATGATTTGTGTGAATTATTTAAGCTGAAAAAAGATGAAAATCGATGGATTAATTATGATTTCAGCTTCCACTCCATTTCCAGATCCAGATCCAGTGACCAAACCAAACCAAACTACAACAATAGCGCCAACGCCTGCGAAAGAAAAGAAAAAACAGCACGGAACACGGAAAAGTCTGGACAAGAAGTGCCCGGCATTATAGCTATAGGATTAGGTGGGACTGGGGAATTGGGAGTTTGAACGTTGGTTTCAACACTGCCACTTGGGTATTTGCTGGCAAAAAGAAAGAGCAAAAGAAACAAAACCTCTCTAAAAAAAAAGGCATATATATACATATATGTAATCGTGGAGCTGTGAAACACGCAGCTAGAAAAATACTCAGAAAAAGCCAGTGCTCCGGAGCGGTAAGCTGAAGGCGTAACTGCAGGTGAAAATGGATTCTGAAAATTGGGTTAATTGATGCTTAGTGTTTTGCTTCAGCGGCAGGGTAGAGTGGGCGTGGGTGGTGTTATTTAGCGCCAAGTGGCTAATAGTTTTTGCCACCCCCTGCCGCTTGGCAAGCGGAAGCGGAAACCGGAAATGCGCTCAAGGAAATCCACACAAACATTGGCACACACCAAACATACCAAGTTTATGGTAAGAATTTCATGAATTCTTGACTTTAACTTATAATAAATGAGGATAGAAGCGAATAGTTATTTAAAAAAAAGTTAAAAAAGTTAATCTCCTCTTAAATAAATAGTATAGTAATAATTATTTGCTGGTTTTTGTTTAAATAAACATATCAATTATTAAATATGTATAAATATTTATTTTTTTTAATGGTAAGTAGTTGTTTGATTTTTATTAAGTTGACTTTTTTCTAATAGCTTTTTGTAATGGAATTTCCTGAAAAGGGTTAACGCATAAACGTCCTAGCAAATACCAAAATGGCGGCGTCGTTTTTGTCGGGCCCTAAAAGGTAGAAAGGTCAGCTAAACAGCCACATAAATGCCATATATATATATATATATACAGGTGTAATTAGCATTAACCCATTGTCGAATTATACACACCGGGACTGCCCTGTTCCGTGAGATTGGCAATGAGCGTGGGCGGTCCACTGCTCAGACTTCCGCCAGATGCACCGCCGGTGGAGGCAGGACCTGCACCACCCGCCGCACCACCACTTCCGCCGCCCGCACCACTGGCAGCCGCCGGATCGAGCGCCTGGGCGACGTGGAGGAGCAGCAGCAAGGATGCGAAGGTGGCTCTAAGCGTCGGACGCTGCCTCATCTTGCAATTTGGTATTTTGGCTATGTGCTTGTTGTACTCCCGCACCGGCATCAACATGTTCCATTGGTTGTTGCTTGGCTCCTTGGCTCCGATGGCGCTAATTGTGGACGATGCTCTGCAAAATGGGGATTGGGGTTAATAATTAATTTGGCTTTGGCTAAATTGCAGCTGTGCAGTTGTGGCGGCAAAAAAGATCTATGGCAGATATACCAAGTCATATCGTGGCATTTTATGTTGAATTTTGTTTTCATTCCTCAGTTTATTTATTATTGTTCCCCTTGTTACTAGAGTATGTTACCTAAAAACTGTAATTAAAACTTTTGTAAATTTATAAAAATGCATCTCACAGATGCAAATTCAGTTGGCAGCTACAAATTCAGCTCTCAAATACAAATAACCATCTGCCATCCACTAGTAGCAGTTGCCAATAATGTTCTTTGCAAGTTTATTGTTGCACATCATACACACACGCCGCAAAAGTATCTCCTGGATACGCTTTGTATCTCAATGTTGTTCAGCACACACTTCACCAACTGGTCGCAATTAAAGTTCCTGCAGTCCTGTTTAACTGACATCTGCTCGGCAGATACAAAATGTATCTCGGCCGAACATCAAATTACACATTTGGCATATAAATTGCTCAATTTCATGTACTTTGCCTGTGTCAAATTGTCATTATAGCCGCACACAAAAACACACGCAACGCTAATGTATCTCGCAGATACAATTGCTGAAATTGCACTTTTAGCACTTAACCACGAATAGCGGCGGCACCCATCTTTAGTACGATTATTTATTTATATAGAAATTTATTTCTGTGGAGATAAATTTACGGGCTCTGTCACTTTTTTAAATTGTCGAATTGTGAGAGCGGATTGTCGACTTTATTTTCGGGGATTTCAATTTGTCTAACGTTTATCGTTGTTTATAAATTTATGAATTGCACTTGCCTCCACTTTTCAACGTTTTTCTGTTATCGTTGCTTAAACATTATTTGGGTTTTAAAAAGTAACTATTGATGCGATTTAGTTTAAATTTGTTTGTTTTAGAACACTAACCACTTTATTATGAAGATATAATTACATATCCTCTTTTTATAAGTCTTTCAATTCCCTAAATTATCGATTTATGACCGCGTTTTGGCTTAGCACGAAGTAAAAAGATAAAACACCTTGTGCTTGGCTGTATTTTCGCCGTCTTCAGTTCGTATCTCTTTGTTTATATTTATGCATTGCACTTGTGCCAAGGGCTTTCAGCTTTTCACTGTTTTTCTCGTTTTTCTGCTGGCGTTGGCGTGTGCGTTGCTTTTTGTTACATTTATAAATGGTTTAGAGCGCACATGTGCCGCAGCACCAAACACACAACACACAGCACACACGCACAGCTGTGGCTACAATTTGTAACTGTAGCGCATTTATAAACGCTGGCTCCTTCGTTGTCCTTGCTGCTGTTTTCTGTTTTCTGCTTTCTGTTTCTGCTTTCAGTTTTCAGTGTTCAGTTTTCCGTTTCCAGTATCGCCGGGCCAATGTTTACACACGCTCAAGAACTTTTTGTTGGTCGTCAACAAACCATCAAGCATTTGCGTTATATTGCTTATCAGCGACTGAGATATGGTAGGGCACTTCGTCCTGCCTCTCCTTTCGATGCGGTCTGGCTCGTATTTGATTTACCCTTCGGAAAAGCGGAAAACGTGCTCACATGCGGTTTGCCTGAATTTTCCAGTCGCCTTCGTCTCCCAGCAGTTCGCTTTTGTTGTTTCAGTCAATTGCCGCATTTTAAAAACGCATAAAATTGCTTTATGTTTGCCTTGCCAGTCCTCAGTTCTCCGTCTTCAATCCTCAATCCTCATCTTCGTTTTTCGGGCTTATCCTCTGGCGTAAATTTATGCAAGGCGCCTTAGTTAGGGGCCACAAAACTCGCACATGACAGACGCGTTGGCGTTTTTCCTCGAGGAAAATGCAGGCTGCAGCTGCAGTTCAGGTATCTCCGTCGGGGTAAGTATCTGTAAGTGGTGCATAAGTGGCAGAGAAATGTTATTGATGATTTATTTGCATTTGGCATTGATATATGCTAATGTTTTTCCCTCGCTCAATCGCTCTCTCTCCCTCTTTGTCCCTCTTTCTTTGTCTGACTCCCTTGTAATAAAAACAAAAACCAAAAAAGGAGAAAAAAAAAGGTTGCTCACGGTTCCAGGCCATGGATTATGTTATCTTTGGCCGCGGCCTGTTGGCTTTTCAATTTTTCATGCCGCCGCAGCAAAAGAAGAAATTATTATGGCATTTTTCCCCACTCCACATGGCTTTCCTTAAAGTCATTTTTATTTGCATTTCGTGATTTCGAACAGACAGATAAGCCAGCCCCGGCAACGTTCGACTCACTTAGAGAGAGGTACGCTGTGTGTCAACTCAAATATTTGATTTAATTCCCTGACATAATAATTAATCACTCGGCACCTTTTACGGGACGTGCATAACCCCGGGGTCTCGTTTATTTGTTTATAATTAAATATTATTTGGCAGTCCAAATGAGACAGCCAAGCCGAGTGGCATTTATCAGTCATTCACATTGGCTAGTTTCGTTTTTCCTTATTTTTCGTTTCGATTTTATGTTTTTTCTTTCTTTCTCCTCTTTGTTTAATGAGTTACAAATTTGGTTTTTCAGTTGTTTAATGGCTGACAGCATTATAGATTAGTGGCCGAAAGTTTTTCTAGTCCGCCCTACCCCTCCCTTCTATTTTTTTTTGTCCATGTCATTTACATGAGCTGCTCTGGGAACCGTTTGCCCCGCGGCCCTTTTTGTCGTCCGGCTGTCGCCGTTTGTATCTTGTATCTGGCTACTTGGTGGGTCTGCAGATACAAATGTATCTGCGAGTCTGCTGCTCCGCTAATGTGCCGTGTGCGTTGCGATGTGTGTTTTTCTGGGCTAATAGCTGGCTGCCAATGGGAATTTGTGTTAATTGTATGCTCGTTATAAATGTCCGTTGGCATTTTAAATTATTGCAGAGATTTTTTTTATTTTTTCTAAAAGAGAAACAGGCAATATCTGAAATAATTTATAGACCTTACTGATAGTTTAGGAGAATACCGAAATTTCAGTGGGAAAAAGGTCTTTCTGCTATACTTTTAAATTAAATATTTTACAGTAAGTCTGATTGATTTAAAAAAATATTAAAATAAATGAATATTTTGTAGTGGGTTTTGGAATTTTAAGTCAAAGATTATATTGATCAAAACCAGTACTAATAAACATGTTTTTAAGACAATAAATATTATAAATATTCATATTCATATCAACAACGATATTAAAACCTGGATATTAAAATAAAATACCTGTTGCTTTGGCATAGTAAATGCCATTTACTGTATACCTCCTTTTTTGGATAACTTACTTGGGCAAATCTTTGAAAAAGTTTTCCGCTTGATGCCACTCAACCCGCTGGGCCGATTAGCATATTGGGAAGACGGCGACTCCCTAAGAGATTGCCTCATTCCGCATTAAAAATTCATGCTCCTAACTGACAAGCCTTGGATACATTTGAAATTCAAGTGCCAGGGCACACGCGCATCGCTAAAAGTGTCAAATTGGCAAAAGTGGACTTCTTGGGCTTGAAGGGGAAGCAGCAGCCAGTGAAAACAAAAACAGAAACATTCTAAAACAAACTTTTGATGCCCTCTGTTCTCTGTGTGCAAGTGTGTGTGTGTGTGCGTGTGTGGGGGGGTCTATAAGAAATTGATACCATTTATCAAACTGACACATACAGAAAACGGCGAGTGAGGCTGGATGGAATCTTTTCTTTGGCAACTTTTGCAAATGAGGCAGCATTCGGCAAACGCCACATAAATAAACAGGGGATGAGAGGCCTAATTGAATTCAGCGTTGCGAGAGTAAGCGAGAAATACATAAATAATCGGACGGGATCGCAGCTCTGCCACAAAATTAGTTCATTAAAGAAGTTCAGGCCGAATTTGCATACGAAACAAAAAAAAAATTGGGCATCCCACGACGAAAAACCTCAAAAACGAAACGCATAAAAAGCGAAAAATAAATGTAAATTAAAGTAAACAATGCAAAGAGAGCTATTCAAATTGTTTTTTATTTTATTTTTTGGGGGCCAAAACCCCAGCCCACACGACAAAGAGAAAAAGTTCCAATTGCCAAAAACTTCAAAAGTCAGCAACATGCAACATGAATATCAAAATCAGAGAGGGAGCTATAAAAAGTATATAAAAAATACTGATGGGGGCGGTACGAAAGTGGGTACTATGTGTATGCATAAAAAAAGAGTGTTGGGGTTTGTATTTATATTTGTATTTCGTGGAAACGAGTGCAGCAAATCAATGCCCAACAAACGGAACTATGAGAGCTGCGTGTCAGGGCCAACAAAAAAAAAAAAAAAAAAAAAATGGTACGAGTACTATATATACCCCAACGAATAATTCCGGGAAACCCTCTCAGCGATCAGGCCCAGCCCACTTGTAATAAAAAATATTTTCAATAATAAAGTGTATTAAGT